CTGTAAATGGAGCAACTGCACAGGTTTTAAAAATTGAATCATGTACCTTACCTGTTATTTCAGTGACTAGGGGATGCCCCAGCCATCAGTAGCAAATTGCTTTTATTGAACAATGTGGGAAAGCTATCAAAAGGCAGTCTGATAATGGTGCCACTCTTGCTTCTAAGGTCCTTGGGACTATTAGCTGTATTATTTATTCACACTGCTATAGCCTTTGGATTCATCCATTGTCGTGCAAAGTATAGTGCGTCCTGCCCTTCAAGAGTAATAAAACTTCACAAAGTGCTGAAACAAGGCATAAAGTTTGGAGAATTTAAACACTGAAGCAAGGAACTGTTGAGAAATCCTGGCTTGGCTCAGTATCTTTAACAGGGTTCTGGGGAAAAAATGAATCTGTAGCAGCTTCATATGCATTTCATTATTTGAACGGCAAACTTCAAAGTTCACAACATGATGAAATAAATACTTTAATTATCTGTGACCCTAAAAATGTGGTGTGCAATTAAAGGAATGGTTCAAGGGAATTTTTCCGCCTTGGGTTACAGTGCAGAGTTAAGCCTAGCAAACTGGTCACTGAAGACAGAAAGTGCCAAACAGAAGGAAATGTAAATCAAGCCTTGTGCAAAATATATGGCTTAATTTCGTGCTGGTTTTTGTTTCTTTGTTCCTGGATTTCTCATGTGTTCATGAAGCGCCATATGAGAACACTGGAAATGCAGACCATAATTGAATGTTTCCAGGAGATGGGGCTACCAAAAGAAAACGATTACCTATACATGATTGTATGATTCCTTCTTTTTTTATTCACTCTTCTTGGCTGCACCCTTGCTCAGGGCCAGAGCAGTACTGTGGCAGAAAAAAGGGACCTGTTTCAGGCAGCATGGTGGGGGTTCGAGGAATGGAAATAGATGTAGGCAGAAATCAGTGCCTGAATAGCACAGCAATACTTTTTAAGTGCAAGAGGCACTATCTGGGTTTCAGTTAAAGCAGCAAAACATTTTGGGCTGGCACTACCCTTTTAATTAAGGCAGAGGTGGCAAACCTCAGGCCAAGTGTGTAACTCCAAGCCACCCTATCTGGCCCTTGGAACTCTTTCCAGGCCACCCCACTTCTCTCCAGGCTATCGCCCTCCTCACTGGCCCTGCTTTGCATGACAAACGTTTTTGCTTGGCTGGAATGTGTCCTTGAACACTGATAGAGCCTCTTGCTTGCCTGGATGGCGAATAGAGAAGTGTGAATATGAGTGTGTGTAGATGCTGGCCTACTGTAGGAAAAGATCATTGACATTCATTGCTCCACCCACTTTAGCCTCTGACCCCACCCATGACTGGCAAGCGGCTCCCTGAAGGTTGCTCAAAAAGGAATGGGCTGTCAGGCTAAAATCTATTCCCTATCCCTGAACCAAGTTGTGAAGATCCCATTAGAGGAAGGGATGTACATTTGTTCCACCTGCATACCTGAGGTATTCTGCTGGTGTGCTTTCCACTGGCATAGCATAGCTTGTGTTCTGCCAGTATAGTGGTGGTTCCTCCATGCCCTACAGCTCCCAGCAAACAGCTCCTGTATAGGATTTCCACTTAAGTTGTTTATTTTAAGGGTTTAGAGATTCCCTTTTGTTTAAATTATTATTTGTAGTTCTTGGGGTGGCATTTAATTTGGTCTCAGGGACCAATGGGTCAGTTTCAGTAGATATATCAGTCATACCATCTCTGTGCAGAGATTCTTTTTAGCTGGTTCTGTATGCATGGAGCAAAGGACTGAGACAGTAGACTCTGCTTCCTCTCCATGCCCAGCTTCCACCTGTTGGTTTGAACATCTGCATAACGACCTGTGTGCATGGACACAACCTGTGTGACTTAACATACTAGAAACACTGAATGATGGGTTGTGGAACTGAAATCCGTACATGGTGCATGGAGGCAGCGGTGGAGGAAGTCGCTCGGGCATGTGGGGCAATGCACCCAGGGGCAGGGCAAGCCGCCCATAGAGGCGGGGCGCACTGTGGGGCCTCTGGAGTCTGCCTCCTCCCACTCAGTCACCCTACAGCTGGGGGGGAGGCAGCGGGTGGACCATTTGGGCAGCGCAGAGCCTGCACGCCCAAGCCAATGCGTCTCTCCCAGGAGAGACGCGTGGCTCGGGTACACTGCAGGCCCCGTGGTGAGTGCCGACTGGCATTTTGTCACCCCCCTCAGTGGTGACACCCGGGGCGGACCGCACCCACCGCACCCCCCCTTCCTCGCCCCTGCATGGAGGGCCAGAGCCTGCCACTCCGATCACAGGAGCTCTAAAAATGTCTGTACAGAGAGGGCTTTGATGTGGGCCCATAAGTATCAAAAGAGCTGCGAATAATGCCAGGAATGCGCCAAAGAAATCGCATGCTGGATACAAAGCATCAGTGAACAGTTATTCTTCCAATGGTTTCCACAGCTTTTTAAAGGTACATGTGCCAAACATATTTCTGGGCTTACCCTTCCAGACTCTTTTTATCCAGCTCCTAGCAACTTACAGGAGAATGCTTTCTGGGAATTAAGGCTTGGAGTAACAGCAACCAAAGCGGGTGGGGACTGCAAGAGCATCAACATACACAAGAGGTGTTAGAGGAATGCAAGTGCCTTGTATCTGATCGATAGTCATCACAGTTAAATAGCCGTTGATTCACTGCAGAAGTGGTTGATAAAAGGCATATCCATCATAATTCATTTTCCTTTATCATAACATAACCTGAGAAAGCGACCCCTTTGTGAGCTTCTGGGCTTCACAAATGCTAACTATAGAGTGTCATTCAAATGTAACAAAGATCTGGTTCATTTTGGGACCGGTGGAACCAGGGAATGTCCATGGACCTTGGCATTCATTCCATTCTTCTCCTGTGCCATGTATTTCTGCTAAAGTGATGTGAGCAAATTAGAAAAGAAATGTTTACTAGACAATTAAATGGCTCGTATTAAATTTAAAGGCTTTCAGGAGAAAAATAAATTAATAAACAGAGGCTATTTCAGGTGCCTTATCTTTTCAGACAATAAATGCTGACTTGATTTACTCTTTCTCTTACTTATTATGGAGAACTATAACACAGAAGGAAATTATTGCCCTCTTTTGTACAAATGGCTTATGAGTGCAATCATTAAGGCACAAGTCTCTTTATATAGAATGCTAATTTGATTTAGCCCAATTTCTGTGTCACAGACTACTGGGAGGTTGCAAAGTGCTTCATAAATACATCCTTTGATTAAATTAAAGCAAAGATTTTAACAGACTGCAGTTATTTGTATCTGTCAAAAAGGTTGAAGGGAGACAGTTGCCTTTGGTTTAGATAAGACTGTTTGATATAAGAAGATGGTTGTGGAATAAAACATGCTTTATTTATTCAATTCTATTTGATATTGATATCCCATATAATGTGGTGAACATTGTAAAGAGTTTCTTCCTTTCTTTCCTTTTTTAAAATCATTTTTTTAAAAAGAAAGTGAATGAAATTTTAAAATGTATGAAATGCTTCCTCTCTTGTCCCTGATCCTGAGTCACAACTCAGGCATGGACTTTGGGGGAAATCTGCACATTCGAAGAGGTAGGTTAAATGTTTTCAGGATCTCCTTGCCCATAAGCCGCTTCCACAGGCAGCAGAAAACTTTGAAAGGGATGGGGGCAGGGGGAGAGTCTGTACCAGCTCATGAACAAAGATTCAGCAGAAACACACAAAAAGCCAGTTCAAAGTTCTCTATTTCACCCACCAAATATGTGTGGAAGTACTGCTCATGGGATTCCCTACCATCAATAGCCTGCAAAAAGCCAGGGTGTGTGCAGCCAGATGAAAAATGGCAGCTGAAGGGGGCAGAGCCAATTTCCTATTCTACCCTGTTTTACACTGAGATGACCTGCATATCTACTATAACGGTCGTGAAATTGTTCACTGTGCATTTGGAGATCTCTTAAGATATTGTAACTAAATTTGCACAATGGTACCCAAGATCAAGGAGCATGTTTTCATCTATGTTAAGATATAACAGGACACCATATTGAACTAAGTCAGCAGATTCAACCTTTCAAAACTCCACTGCTTTTAATCACTATTTTCAGACCTGCCCTGGTTTTTGTGTGTGTCTTAGAATTCCCAAGCAACACTCGCTAGGAGGCTGCTAGTATACAAATCTGCATCTGAATTAATACAAATCAGGGATTCCAACAGCCTTATTTGGATTCAAAAAGCCTTTCTGTTGTTGCTATTGCTAAAGAATTGGAACTGAGAAACCCTTGCCAATATATATCAAGTCATCCAGCGACCCACCACTATCTCCCTTCTGCCCATCCTTGCAAAGACATTTGTTTCTCATGTATGATGCACAAGAAGACAAAAACAGCATTGCACAACGTTAATGCTGGAGTAGTGGTAAACACAAGGATCAGTGTACTCAAATCCTCGTCTAGACAGTGGCCAAAGCATCTGTGGGAAGAAGGAAGCAATTTTTGTACACTAAAAGGATTTGGTTGTGTAATTAATGTAAACAGAAGCCTGCACAGAAGGAGGGGTGCATGAGAAACCTGCTGTGGCAGTCTAGGCTCTAGTAGTGTATGGCTGCTCAGAAGAAGAATCCAAGCATGGGAATTGTTCTTGCCTCTTCTGCCATTTGATGACGTCTGGCTAATGGAACACTGACAACCTTTAAGACAGTATACATTATTAACAAAATAAGTAAACAAACACCAGATTTTACTTTAAGGAAGTGCTGTATAAACTGGCTTAATTTGCACAATTCATTCTGCTTCTCCTACCCATGAAGGAGCACTTTGCCTCATGTTGGGGGCAAAATGTTTTACACAGCCTTACCTCAGCCCTGGATATCTCTTTCTGCCCCCAATGTGTGGGCTCTGAGATGGCACCAGGCAGTGCTCCAGATATTATTATATTATGGGTGTATAAAATAATGCTATTTCACTTGCCCCATCATTGTGATTTAAAAACAAGCAAACAGATATTTAAGTCCATAAAACTTGAAAGTCTTGCTCCTTCCTCTTTCTCTTATTATGTACAAATATGTGGCCTAGTTAATATAGGTTCTGCATAGGCAATAAAACCAAGGTTTTGTCATAGGCTTTGTGCTAGACCTGTTAGATTTTACTAGGTTCCACCCTTCTTCCTCTTCTTTGGTTTCACCTCGGCCAAGATTCTATCATAGTGCCATGCCCCTCCGACTTGCTAAGATTCCTCCAAGCTCCTCTTCCACTCTCTCAGATGCTGTTCTTGACATGCCAGATTCTTCTCTGATTCTAGCCAGCTGCTATTGCCTTGGCCCCATATAAGGAAACAGGGTTTCTGAAATCAAATATTGGTTTATTTTAAGACTTCACATAAATGCATATCCCGCTTTTCAAGAAATCTTTCCCACAAAGAGACTTGCAACTCTATCTAAAACGACAGTGACAGCAACTTTTCAGTATATTTTAAAATATTTAAATAGTTTAAAACTTCATTCCATAGCTGCTCTAAAGCTAAAAACATCAAAAACAACAATAAAATCCAGGAGACCCACAACACAAAGACCCCAGTATGCTTTAACCACTGAAGGTTTTTGAGAAGAAATTGGTCTTCAGTGCTCTTGAAAACATTACAAGGGATGAGGCTTGCTGAATATCAGAAGGAACAGAGTGTTATGATCTAGTGCACCTGAGGACTGCAAAACCTCTGGAAAAGATATAGAAAAAACCCAAAAATTGGAAGGAAGCCGCAAAAGTGATGGTCCCAGGTTCAATCTTTGGTCCGAAAGATGACAGATAGTGGGCTGAGAAAGATGTCTCCTAGATCTTCCCAACTGCAGTAAATAATTCAATGAACTGGTTGCCTGACTGTATATAAGGCACACTGCCTTGTTGTTATTACAGATGCAGCATCCATTAAAAAACACAAGTATACTCTTGGGCTGTTCCCATTCATTTCATTGGGGATGGCACACCAGGCCAATACAGATTGTGTCCTCTACCTATTTATCCTACATATTTTTTTAAAAAAAGGCTACCCCACTTTTCACTGTATGTCTCAAAGCAGCTTACAGAAAAGTAAGTGGTTTATGTCCACAGTGAGGTGAGGTGGAGGCACTTTTACCCAACCTTTCAGCAGGTGAGCTGCTGGAGGGGTGAATTCAGTTGTGGTGCAAACTCACCGGCAGGAGTGCCAAATTGGCCAGGAGGAAGTTACATATAAGGGCATTTTCTGGTGCTAGACCTGTCCTTCACGTGGCTCCACAAAGCACCTATAAACAGAGAACACTGCCAGCATAAAATATTAAAGTTGCAAAAATGAAAGATTCATGCGGCGTCCGCCAGATAGATATCCTCCCTGGCTGAATGTAAGATCTCCTGCCAGAAGAAGGTTGAAAAATGCAGCAGCCAAAAATTGATATGCGGGCAAATGGGGCCCTGCATTTAGGATACACCGTTTCTAACCAATCAGGCTAAATAAAATCAGCAGGCCTGGGCCTTATCTCCTAGATAACCCTCATTAATCCAGTGAGCTTCTGAGGACAAAAAAGAGAAATGAATTGCTTCATTTGTGTCGCTTGAATGGAATGCTAATGAGGAGAGGTGGGGGGGGGGAGTTAATTATTCATTCCAGCCGACTGAGCAGAAAGCAGATCCTGGCTTCCCCTGTTACCATTGCAACAAGTGGCAGCCGGCCTAGCGAAAGCAAGCCAAGGGAAACATTTATAAAACTGAAACCAACATGAAATATGCCTTCTCAGAAAAGGAAACCCCTGGTCTTGAGCTGCGCAGGGCACAACCAGATGGATTTAAGGACAAAGCTTCTTGTAGCAAGGAACCAGGAAAGAAAGCCCTTCATATCTCAAATTTGCTTCATGATTAACCATGCCTCCTGGGGGAAACCGTGTTGCCTTGGTAAGTTTGGTACAAGTTTTCCAGGCTTTTCGCATCAGTAGTTGAACAATGCTTTGCTTTGTTTTTGTTTTGTTTTTTTGCTTCTGTTGGTACTACAACATTTGATGAGCTTTTTGAAAAGACCTGGCTGGCTCCTGCATTTAAAGCAGAATTTAAAGAGCACAATTCTTGAGGATTTACAGTGGAAGCCTATATGTGTCTACTAGAAGTAATTCCATTTGAGTTGAACAAATTCTGCTTCCTGGTAATTGTGTATAGGATTTCAGTCTCAGTAATTTTCTATACATTTCAAGAAGCCTTTTAAAAAAATATTAAATAAACTTGAATGTATACAGCAACACAGTTGCTGTTGCTAACTAAAGGCTCACAATGATGTCTGGATTTTGCTATTGTGTTTTTGTATTTTGTAACGTGCATTTAGTTTTGCGGTGTAGCGTGTGTTTTTTACATGTATGTTATTGATCTACACAGAACGTGATGCGGTGTAATATTTTTAAAAAGTTTTTACTTCTGTAAACTACCTTGGGTCCAATTTTAATGGAGAGAAGTGGGATATAAATTACTATTCTAAGCTAAAATTAAATAAAAGAAACTATATTCAACATTCCACTTCTTGTAAAGCCCAAGTTCTTGTAGATCCCTGTAATCAGAATGTAACCAAAATAATTGTAACCAAGAGGAATCTAGATATTATAGTCAACCCTATACATATCTAATCAGAAGTAAGTCCTATTAAGATGACTGGGTCTTATGCCCAGGTATGTCAGAAAAGGATTGCAGCAGGTTGTAAGGAGGTTTAGAGTTATACATGTGGTTTGTGTGTAATTTCATTTTTTAACATATATTTAGCACTAGGTCATGGCCACCAGACATTTCCCTGTGTTTGTTAGGAGTGTTGTTTGTGTAGTCTGATTATTGCTTTCTAGAAGGATTGTGTTGCAGGACGTATGTTCGGCTATACATCATTTGAAAGCAACGTTATTAATGAATCTTGTTTTTCCAATGGCAAAAAAGACAGATGCTGTGTCTGTGAGACACAAAACAGTGGGGGAGCGGTGTTAGGCATCTATCTCCATTAGTCAGGGTATTAAAAAAAAACTCCTGAAAGTTTTGATTTGTTAGTCAACACCAGTGAAATTGTTAACATTTTCCCATATGCCATGCCACAGCAAAGACAAGTATCTCGAAATGTAAATAATGGGTTTGCATTAATTCAGTTCAACTCACATGCCAGCTTGCAAAATAGATTTTACCCCATTAAAAGAAAGGCTGGAATAAATAACTTCCTAGACAAGACGACAAATCACAATGGGGCTAATTTTCTTCTGTGAAAACAGTATTAGCATGCACCCTGCTTAAAATGTAATTATTTTTTCTCAGACTTTGTGATCTATGACAACTCTCCTTTCCTCATGACAAAATACATTCTTTAAAAAACTAAGAAACATATACATATATGTTTTATCTAGAGAGATAAAAATACTGGTAATATTGACTATGATGTATTGCAGCAACATGAAGCAATCATTTAACAACAGGGCAGTGTAGCCAAAAGCAATACACTCACTTACCTGGGAGTAAGCCCTGTTGAATTTAATGAGATTTATGTTCAAGTAGACATGTACAGGATGATTTCAGGGGGAAATTAAGTACAGAGTTGCTAAGTTTGAAGCAACTTGTTAGCACTGTGACTTTAATACTTGAGTGGATTTAGTTGGCCTTTGGCAAAATGCCTCTTTTACTTTGCATCATCATCATCATCATATTTCATTCATATCCCTCCCATCAGGCTGGGTTTCCCCAGCCACTCTGGGCAGCTTGCAACAAATAAAACACAACAAAACATCAAACATTAAAAAAGAGATATCCTATACAAGCAACAAACAAACCAATAAATAAATAAAAACCAATAACAATAATAACAAACAGTTTACAGTTATACTCAAAGTAACCACCAACTCCAACTAAACATTTAACCAACACTAACCCGACAAAAAGAAAACAGAGGAACCAAAATTAGAACCATTTAAAACATTTTAGCCAGTTGTCGCAACCCAAGAGTTGTTCCAGCAATGTCCCAGTGACCTCCCAGGAGCCTCTTTTAGCTCACTCTGGAGTCTGGGCCCTGCCCCCTAGGCCAGGTGGAAATGGGCCTTTCAGCAGCGGTCCTCCTTCCAGCACTCAGGAAGCAGGAGAACATAGAATTCCTAATATATGAATTGTGTCACTGCCAGCTACAGAAAGAACATAACATGGTGATGAACTGACAATGAACAGCATTGTTACCTGGTGGTGGGAAAGAGTTACTACTTGTCAATCAGAATAAAGATGTCCTGTTGCTTTTGGCTTCAGTCCTAAAGTGACTTCAGTGACCAAAGATCAAGTCCCACTGAACTCAGGGTACTCCAACACCCGTGGAATTGTGATGTTAGGACACAGCCATTACCAAATACAACAAAGTCTTGTGACTCCTTAAAGACTATCAAATTTATTATGACATAAGTTCTCATGGACTGAAGTTTACTTCATCCGATGCTTTTCTTTTCTTTTCTTTTTTGTTGGTGGGGGATTTTAAATTATTTTGTATTTTGTATATTTTATTGTAGTAAGCCTGTAAGGCAAGATGAACGCCGCAACCCCAGAGTCGTCTGCGACTGGACTTAACTGTCAGGGGTCCTTTACCATCTTTTTACTGTAAGACCAATCCATTTGGCCACATGTATTGTCAAATTCATTGCGGGCAGGGCGGATGATGACTGATTACGAATGTGTGCTTCTTTCCCAGTTAGATCACTGTTTCCCAGCTTTGAGAGTTTTAACTAATCTATGCCTTTGCAGAAGAATAGAGTTTCGGATGCAGTTTCCCCTATGTGATGTTTGCATAACTCCTCAGACACAGCTGGGCTCGTGCAGCCCTTGAAAAAGTAACCAGAGCGCACTGGGAATCATGGGGTTTTTTGCTTTGTTTTGCGGATGCCTAAGATTGTTCTGTGCATAAATTTTCATCGTGACATCATAATAAACACATGGGCTTTTAGCACCAGCCACATGCACACTTGAACAACTTGTTTCCCTGCTTTGGCCAGCTGTAATCCTGCTGTGAAAGTACAGCCATCAGCAGAGATGGCACAGTTTTATGTTCATTCCATTGTAATTGCATTATGGCTATTCAATTCTTTCCTATCTTTGTTTAATGCTATCCTTCTGGCAGTGGAGAGGGGTCAACTATCCATGCTGATTTTATTAGGTATTTTAGTAGCCTTTCATACGGCCAATCATGAGGTTTTATTGAAATGCCTGTGGGTCCTTGCAAAAGATAATGAAGTTGCTCTTGGTACCTTTCTGGCAGGTGAAATAAGCAATTTCCCATCTTCATAAAGGTGGCTACCTGGGGGCCCTGCTGAATATGGTTTAAAATGGTGGTCATGCTTTTGAAGTACAGTATTGTTTGGTAATCAGTATGTGGATGATCTGTCCTTTCTGCATATTATTTAAAGGGGAGTTTTCGCTGTCTCTTCTAAGCAGCCTGTTTGGTGTTCATGCCTATTCCGCCCTGTATAAAATCTATTGGCAATTTTTAAGGTTTTTATCATCACACAGCAAATTTTAAAATAAAGCCAGTCTTGATTATCGTTTTGAAACTGAGGTGGATCAGGATGCTTCCTAATCATAAGAATAACGGTGGTGTTTCTTGAATCTTCTTCCCTCCAAAACTGTTCTGTGTTGGTGCTTATTCCCCCTCCCCCTGCATTTTTCTTTTAATGTGCATTTTTATCCCACTTTTCCTCCACCAAGAAGCTGAAGGTGACATACATATGGCTCTCCTCCTCCACACTGTATGCTCAAAACAACCCTGTGAGGTAGGTTGGGCTGAGAGGCAGTGACTGGCTGAAGCTCATGCAGTGAGCTTTATGGCAGAGTGGAGTTTGGGACACTGGACTCCCAGGGCCTATTTAACACTGCAACTGCTACATGGTTTAGGTGTCAGTGGTAGCTGGTAACATTTTTACTTGGTAGAGCTGCTATTTTTAACCTTAATGTTTTCATCTTAGTAGAACTTGTATAGCACTTATTTAGGAAAGTATACAATCACACATGTGCATTGTCTCCTCTTGTCTAAAAAACACCCCCTCCCCCAGTTATTCTCTGCATATTTGGGGACAGGGAAATAACTTCAAGGTAAGAGGACCCAAGTATGATTCTTAGACAAGATTGACTTAATACCTCTTATTTAGAAATTACACCATACCACATGACCTAATCTTTTCAGTTATTGTATGGTTAAAACCCATACATCTGTTGCCCCTCCCCCCAAAAAAACCCTGAACACTTAAAAAGTTTTAAAATGTGAGAAAAACTTGCTTTCAGGTGTGTGCAGTTTCCTCCCTCCAAAAACCAACTCTGCATTGTCCAAAACATTTTTTTTAAATTAAAAGAACAAAGTGTTCCAACCAATAGATAAAAAAATAATAATGATTGTTTCATTTGGGCTAGGGAACATCAGAGCACAACAGAACATAATTATAATGTGTAGCTCAGTTCTGAAAATGAGTAGTAATAATCTCTGCTCATGTGTGGAGTTCATCACACCAGGCTAATCATAATTGGCCTCTATTATATCAGAGATTTGGGACACTATCTTCCAGGTTTGGGGACTATTGCAGAGGCGTGTCCAGACAGGCACAGAGCTCAAATGTCTCACTTTAGAAGTTCACTGACAAACTTACTAAGAACAAGCTGGAAATATAGTGACAGCATTTTATTCATTCCTATGCATTCAAGATATATCCCCTGCTAAAGGAGAGGCTTGTTGGAAGCAGATCCACACACCTTTTCTGGAAATTTGAGGGAAATAGTTAATACAGAGTATGTTCCAACACATACACAAGCCAACCACTATTTGCCTCCCAATTCCCCAATTTAAAAAGAGGCAGAATGATTAAGTAGAACAGTAGATATTTATTACAGAGAGCTTGCTTGCTCTTTCTCTCTAGCAAGGTCACAAAACAAATACCATGGGTGGCGTGGAGTTCCTCAAAGTAGGAAACACACCCTGTTGCTTCTCTTGCCTTCAGGGAAACAGCTCTAAACATGCTAGGCTAATGCTGTTTTGGAAGCAGTTCTGACTTCTTCAATATCTGCTATAGTGGCTGTGCTGAACAGGCACCATTAACAACAAATGAAGTAAGAGTCTTCCTATCAGGACTGACTTCCCAGCAGTCTGATTGGTCACATGGTTTTTCTGCCTAGATGCACATGAGACATGCCTCTTTGCCATTGCTATATTTTGAAGTAGGATTGACAAAGTGCTGCAGAGAGCTGATAGGCAAGAGAACGGGAGTTTAACAGAAATACGTCTACAGGCTTCTGTGCAAGTAGAAAATTGGGGGGGGCAGGGGACAAGGAAAAGTGGTTGGCTTTGAGATATTGAGGATTTTTTTTAATTGCTTGACAGTTTGAGTGGGAAGGCTGTGCCCCACTGGATGTAACAATTTACAAGTCCTGACCCATTGGCAGAAGCATAGAATTGTACAAGTGTAGAGTTGGAAGGGACCACAAGGGTCATCTAGTCCAACACCCTGCAGTGCAGGAATCCTTTGCTCAATGTGGTGCTCGAATCCGTGACTCATGTCCACAGCATTCCCTTGATCCACCAAGCTTGTAACTCTATCAAAAAAAAATAAAAAATGAGATTTGTCTGGCATGACTTGTTTTTGAGAAATCTATACTAGGACTTAATAATCACAGCATCCTTTTCTAAGTGCTCACAAACTGACTGCATAGTTTATCTGTTCTAGGACCTTTCCTGGTATCAATGTCAAGCTTACAAGCTGGTAGTTACCTGGGTCTTATCCCTGCCCCCTTTTGAAGTTGGGGACAATAGTTGCCCACCTCCATAGTCAGGAAACAGCACATGCTACTTCTGATCTGCCCAGATCCCCATAGTAAGTAAGATCATGCTATAGAATCCCTTGTGATAACATGATTTTTTAACATTTCAGACAAGAACAGCATATGAGAGGTTGTAGTTTCATTTGTGCTATCTTGCTAAGAGCCCACAGAAACCTAAACCTGATTATGTTGCTTCTCTGTGCTGTTTGTCCAGTATCCAGGGTGGGTGGCAGCAACTTTGAATAAAGCAGCTATCAACAACGGCCTTTGTGAGGAGGCAAGATTGATGGATGATTTGTTCCCTGCTGTACTTTGGACCATCTTATAATTCTAGCTTTTGTGCAGCCTATTGAGGCAGAGTCAGTGCTGCAAGTTGGACAGGATCACTGTCAAATAGGTGGAAAGGATCAAGAAATACCATCTAATCTTGAGTGTCACAAGTTGAGGACGTGTCACAAGGTGACGATGAAGCTGTTGTTTTACTTAGTTGTTAAGTAGAACTGTGATGATATGGGCTTACAGCTGAAACATCCATCCATATTCATATCCATACATACTGAGTCCATTGGTCAAACTTACTCAGTATTGTCTACTCTACAATGGCTGCTAGCAGCTCTCCAGAGTTTCGGAGGGGAGTCTTTCCAGCCCAGTTTGGAGATGCCAAGGACTGAAAATGGAATATTTTCTGTGGGAAAGGATGTTCTCTGTGCCCCATCTCCTAAACATTCAATATTTTAAAATGCAGCACTGTACTTGTTTTTCAGGAATCTTCTCCCCTGGACACCAATATATAACATTGTCAGATTATACCACCTCCTGCAAAAAATAGTTTTAACTTGGTCAACACAATTTGTCCTCATCTTCATTATGGGTCCCATTTACATAATTCCATTTTGCTCTCACCTGTCCTGAGTCAGTTGCTAGTGACTGTCTTCCAGAAGACTTTGAAACTCAGGAGCAGTATTTTTCTGAGATACTTCATTTCTTTAATTTGTTGTTGTTGTTCTGGTGTTTGACATTTTCTAATCATGTACAACTCTTGTTGGACTAGATTCTCTTCCCGCAGCCTTGCATATAGTAGACACAATTTGCTTTAATCAGGGCTCTTGGTATTCTGAAGTACTTCAAAACAATTTCTATAGCAAATTTGAATAAATTCAGCAGCAATGTCTGACACAGTGATCAGATGTAATTGCCTACAATTTCACACCCACAGGATCCTTAGGTGACTTCAGCATTCCTGGTGTTCTGGCTTTTCACAGTTTCATCACCATGGAATCCTCTCAAAGCAGCACTGA